CTTTTACAATCAGTGTATTGAGCTCTAGTGGCAGAAGTTTGAGGAGAATGTATGCCTCGTAGCACTGTCATCTGAAGGCGGTCTCTACCTAGCACCAAAGACATCACGACTTCAGGTAATCACCTTAACAATAAGTAGGGATGGCAACCGTATTCGCTTCTTATACCATAAATGTCACCACGCCATACCGTGTTAATACAGTCACAAAAGTCAGTATCATTACCGTGACATCAAATCATAGTCGATATTTGTTGTACCCTCTCACGCGACTACCAATTAGCAACACGGGGCATTCGACAAACTTCTGGTGGACTCATGAACCCTAACTAGCAAATGAGAAGGAAGATCTATATGGTGATATTAGAGCGTGTATTTCAAGAGCCAATGAGAGATAGATTTACAGCAATACTGATAATATTTAAAAGGTATTACGAAGACTAACCATACTGACAACAAGATAGGCAGTGTAACGATTATTTATAAAGAAGTAATAAAATCTGACACAATGTTTGCCTGACTAACAGGCAGTCGGTATTTGTACAATGTGAATTCTGATCAGCAGACTTCTGTGACAGTCGATGGTCACACATAACAACTTCCATCTTGGGGGATCTGAGGACAACATTGTGTGGGCTTCGGGTCAATCCAAAATAGTGGCATTCGCAGATACTGTCTGTCGGTTCGTCTCCATAGTAGCAGCTTCACTTCATTTCCTCCAAATATCAGCAATTCTGCGTGTTGTCTCGCATCTGGTTGTTTTTATGATCCTTTGTTTGCCTTAGACCCTAGAAAATCTGGATTTTGCGGATGATCTGTGTATCATGCCGCACAAACTCAAAGACTACAAGGGAAAATCGAGTTGGCATTAGGGGGTAGGTAAGAAAAATGAACAGAGCGAAGACAGAGGTGATAAATAAACCACGTAAACAACGAAAGCCACCACCACTAGGAGGAATCTAAAAGAGGCTGTCTCTTTCACTTACCTGCGTAGTATCATTCCAACTACAGACGGAAGATGTCGAAGCCAGCCAGGTGTTCATTTCACTTAAATCGATACTGAGACGTACAACACTCAGCACACTGGACAACAACCGAATTCTATTCAACACCAATGCTGAGCTAGTGCTTCTATATGCACCAAACAGTTCGTGTGCGCAGCACCAAAGGCATCACCAACAGGCTGCAGACTCTCATCAACGGATGGTTTCACTCGATACTGAAGACCATGTGGCAGGCTGGAAACGATAGGCAATGAAGAACCATGACGGTAAACCAGACAGGAACCTACTGCTTAATTCGTGTGGGGGATATGGATCGAATACGCGCTGAGGAGATACTCAAGTAATGTCACACGCCACTCCCTCGAGTGGAAGCCGAATAGCAAGCGACAGGTTGGGTGTACAAAGGTGTCATGGAGCAGACCACGTGAAGAGGAAACATAAGCTTGTGGAGCCAGCCAATGTGATAACAGGGAATAGAGTGCAGTACTGCTGAAGCCCTATACCCCACTCGAAACCGAAGGAATGAACGAATACATATAATAAAGTGCATACAGAGAACGTTCAGACAAAAACAAAGAATGCCGTGGCTTTACTGCATAGGCTCTAGTCTCTTTCGGAATACAAATCCGAATAGGTCAGACATCAACCCTGATTACATAGGTTGAGTGGTTAGTGTCAGTCGAAGTCTACCTGCAAATTCCGTAATTCGAGGGCTAAACCAAACATCAGAGGACTACGGTGCATGAATACGTTCGATGACGACCTACAGGAATGTATGCCTCGTCTAAATCTTTAATTCTCATCTGCAACCTAACCGTCAAACCAATTCATTTTCATTCATATAACCCAATGTTTAATACTCTGCAGAAAACAAAACGGATCAACACTTCTCCCAATTTAGCTGTGAAAGCATAAACCCAAGGGATTTGTTCACAACACTAGCACAGAGGTAGATTTCTTTCTCATGAACCTCACGGAAATCTTCACAGTAGCCAATAAACAGCCATTTTTGGTGAGACCCATGACTCACCACTTGTGTTGATTCTCATCCTTCAGCGAATCAACACGTCACCTACTTAGGATCAGAAGATGTCTCCAGGCCCTATAAGACGCACTGCCATCTGCATAAACTCCACTTGTGTCGTCGGGTTTAGGAAGAAGAAACAATTTCTCAGAATATGAAGTATATGCTCCCATTCATTGGAGTTCACGAGAGTCAGTGACAAAGCACTCTAGTGACTGGCCACTATACTTCAACCTACAACGGATATAGAACGACTACTATCTCGTTGTCACTACTGAGAACCACCGCCAGATTCACAACGTTGCTACTAGATATACACGAACTGAAGTCCATGGAGGCAGAATTGGAAGCACAGAGACATGCAAAACAATGACCAACTTATAGAAAGTCTAGCGTGCGATAACATGTTTGTTACACTGCATAATAACAAACAGGAAACCTGCAAGTCTGGACAAATCACATCATTTAGACTATTCAGAGCGAAATCTAACAAGTTTGATACTATTTCATTTAGTTTATAAGCAGTACAGATAAATATCATTTGACTGGAGGATGTAAACCAGGACATCGCACAGGCCGCAAATCAAGAGACTAAGAGAGTGTCGAGCAAATGCATTAGGCGGTTAAAAGTACAAGGATATAAGATGGTAAAAGTAACTCAGGTGCTCTTATTTATGGGCAGAACCAAAAAACCAGTAGCTTCAAGAATCCGAATTACAAGTAAAAGACACTACAGAAAGAGGTAATTGAGCACTCACAACGTCAATAAGCTGAGAGTAATTCTCGACGACTGGTCCGTAGTCATCTTTTCTGAATAATCCATTTTCTTATTTCAGTCGACTTCCTATAAAACACTGACTGAAATTTCCCGACAGTTGAATGAGGAACGAAGTGAACGAAACGAAGGGAGCTACTTATCCCATCATAGGCAAAAAGAGGGAAAATATAATGTAACAAGACTGCAATTCCTCTTTAATTTAGACTAGTAGGGAACCTTTTTTTGTGGAGATGACGCGTACATCAATAACTCCTAAGACAGGCGTTAGTTGAATTTCTAGAACACACACACAGGACATCCAATTCCGGGAGGTTTCATGAGAAAGCAGTGTCTGCTACCCACACATGCCTGGTCCATTCGTCCACAGCTCCTATAACTTCTTATGTTATACCATCTGTTATCTGGAACTGCCCGACGTTTCAAAGTAAAAAATACTAAACTGAATGGATTTTCCACGGAAGAAGCGATTCGTGAATGCTACCGTCTCAGGAAATCATTGCCCAGTCACAATTGACTTTATTTGACGAGTATGTGAACGAATTGTCCCCCCATTTTCCTCCCTGAAAATATGTATACCGGTAGGTGGCGTGCTCAACATGTTCGACGTTTTGTAGGGGATCGGTGAAAACCAACGGAAGGCAACTAGACCACTCAGTTTACAATTTAGTGCGAAGATCAACACAACTCATTAGCACATGCGGAAGCAACTCTGTTGCGCTGAAAATCAGAAAACAAACAGCAACGAACGATTGTCCTGGTGTAACATCACACAAGTCTAGCGAAAGACAAATAATGCAGGAGCACCACCTGATTGCGGCGAACTAAGGCTGGTGTTCTTAGAATACTACTACTGGTCCTGAGGCAACCAAGCTATACACTCATCTTGAGTGGGATGACAACAAGTTAATAAGCTACCAAGCTATTTTTCAATGTGACCTGAAGCCGATTATGCACTTTCGATGAAATTAACGTCTACTTGCAACAAACTGAAGGCAGATAAACTGAAGAGACTGAAATAAATTAATCCCTACCTCTACACTCAGTTCACAATGAAGTCTCTTGAGACGTACTACATAAGCAGCCACCTCAAGAAACGTTATCTTCGTGAAGTTAGGAGATCTAAAGCCTACGTGTGGTTGAACCTTGACCACATCAAAAGTTACAAACTCCTCTATGATGAAATGTCTGCAAACCTGTGCGGGATAACTCACTCGCGTAACAGACCAATCTTTTACTTGAATGTCTGTGCGATGTGACCAGGGATCCTAGTGTGGTGCATCCACTCACACAGAAAGATGACCATAGAGGCATTTGTTTCGCCAACCCTTTCCGTGCAAACATTTGTGTGAAAGTGTTGAGGTGAGCACTCTGAGCACTTGTGCATATTCCGCTGAGTCACGAAGTAGTATCACTGCGCCCTAATAGATCGTTCAACAAAGAAACAACACACGTAGACTTGAATTATCAGACACAGTCCTCCACCAGGAGACCCGTATGCACTTCCTATCCTATAATGAATATAAGACGGGAGCAGGACCCGGTTGGAAAACCGTCCGTCGTGGTGACAGCAACCGTCTCCCGACCACCACCATAATCACACGCTCACGTCTTCCTTACCCATATGCCCTCTCACCATTTCAATATCATTCACGCAATCTTACATGATTAACCATCCTAAACACCCCTTTGTTCACCTTGGAGCTGCTACACGCTGCGGCCACCAGACCTTTCACCTTCTTAGTACCCGTGCGCCTTGCACACTCACATAATCCACGAAGTACAGAAGAAAAAAATTACATCACTGGACGTTTACGTTCATTCGTATGCAATCGATAAGAAAGCGAGTGCTTACTTTCATGTTTTTTTTTGACGTGACCGGTTCCTGCTTTCTTATTTTTCTAGATTGGTTTAATGCGATTCATGTAAACTAGAATATATTATATGTGACGCTTATTGGAACATTGTGATGAAGGTGAGGTTTGTGGCGCTTTACTTTTTGCTGTAGGTTGTTTTTGAAGAAATTTTATCATTTGAATTCCGTATTATGTGTATGCAATAATTATTCATTGTGTGAACACAATTTGTGAACGCTTTGCGAATAAGTATTTGTGACAAGATTTCTCTATCTTATTACCTTACTCCGCCCAAGTTAACAAAAATTCTAAACTTCCCAAGCTTACAATAACGCTGAATTAAATCTCACTAATTCTGAAATAATTCTGGCATCCTATAGTGAGTAAATTCTGAATCTGTTCTGAAATGTTTTGTTTAATGGCACAGACTAGAACTCAGTGTTGGTTTTCAGGATGACTAGAACTAATTCAGCACCGTGTTCTTTTTCTAGGCATTTTTAGGAGTAGATCAGAACATACTGGGTTTGCTTATCAGCGTTGTTCCAGCCTTCTCAGCACATATTCAGCACTGACTAGCATTACTTTAGAACGAAAAGACTGCTACTTATTATCATTACCTGTGTCCTGCGCCGGCGCAATTCACTCAGTTTACAGAAGGAAATCAGTTTTTATAATTGAGAGAATTTTGTATTTAATAAACTGTAGTAAATTGTCACTGCAAATCCGTCAAGTGAGATCCACTGGTAGCATCCTGTAAGTAAGCAAAATAGAAGATTAGTTGATGAAAAATAGTGCTCAGCACATTGTAAGAATTTACATTTAGAAAGGTTTACTTACATAACTGCCACTGTTATATCCCCTGGTATCTTTTTCATTTGCCTACAAATGAAAACAATGTTGTCATTACTATATGTTCAATAAACGTTGTCTTATAAAAATAAGCAGGCGTTTCGCAATTTTACCTGAATTCCTTTCTTCAGCTTACGCCTTTGGACACGATCTTTCAAATTGTGAAAGTACGATTTCGTGGCCTTATCCATTATGTCACCAACCTCTCTCGACGTCATTAGTTGGCCGGAGAATTCCGCCATAATTACATCTAAAGAACTAAGTACTTTATAAATGAACCTTACATCTCATTATTTTATAAAAGGTATAAGGCACAGTGCTGGACTTTGTCAAAGTCCCCTGAAATGTAAACTTCAAAGCCACTTCAGGTTTTAGAACATGGTGCATCATGACCTTAAGTGATAACTTTGGATCACTCTGAAAGCAGCTAACCATCTTAGCAGTCTACAAGAAATAAGAATTAAATGTCAACTCACATATTGCTGTTTGTACTTTTCGTCTCTTAAAGATGCTTCCAGCATCTCTAAGTGGTCTTCATTCTCGATCGGAAACTCCAGTGTGAAGTCATCGTTTGCTGGAAGGGAGGTTTGTTGTCGAGATTTCCTGTCAGTAGTCATAATGTTCAACATTTTCGTGCACAGGTTAATGATTTCCATATTTGTATCTTTCAATAGATAATTATTTTTAAGTAATTACCGAGTAATTTCTGAATTTTGGAATCAGTGGTATCTTCGTTAGGCGGCAGTCTAAAGCACGAATAAAAATTGTAACAATTATTCCTACCGGTCAGATACAGTTGTGTTTTTGCCAATAGGAGAGGGAGAATGGATTATGGGAGCACTGGAAGTCCTGAAAATGAATGGCTTTCAATTACGTAAATACCTTGGAATTTGGGCTATGAAGTCATCAAATATATTGTAAAGAGACGTTTCTTCAAAAACTTCATGCAATTCTTCCCATTAATAAACTTGAACAAAGCAAGAACAACTATTGTACCAGGATAATGTGAGCTCATCTTTTATTATTTCGAGGATTCTCAACTGGTTACAACCTGAACGATGGAAAATATAAATTACATTACATTGAAGATTTGAACATAATTTTCCACGATCACATGGAGTAATTGGTAGGAAGTAGGAAAGATCACCAAATAGCATTGAAAAACTTAATGAAGAATGAGTCTATTGTTATTCTCCGACCTGGCAAAGGATCAGGTGTTGTGATAATGGATAAAGATAATTACGTGGAAAAAGTGGAATCAGTTCTGAATGACTCATCAACATTTAGAAGTGATCCATCGAAGAAAGATCAAACCGAATCGATAGAAAGACGGATTACAAATAAGCTAAGAGAACTTTTGAAGAAGTTGATTGACAACAACATATATAACGAACTGAAGCCTAAAGGATCCAGATTGCCTTACCTGTACGGCTTACCAAAGATGCATAAGCCTGGCATTCCTATGAGACCAATATTATCTATGATTAATTCGCCATATCACAAAGTAGCTAGGTGGCTAGCAGAAATGTTAGAACCTATCCGTTGTAAATTAGCAGTCTATAGCCTGAAAGACACCTTCCAATTCGCTAAACAATTAGAGAATGTAAGCATCTCAAATAAATTTATGGTGTCCTTCGACGTGTCTTCACTGTTTATAAAAATTCCATTAGAAGAAACAATACAAATTATATGTCAACATGCCGAACTTCTTCCTCTACCCAAGAACGAACTCAAACAACTTTTACTTATGTGCACCAAAGACGTACAGTTCCAGTTTAACAACATTCTGTACCGCCAAATTGACGGAGTCGCCATGGGAAGCCCCCTGGGTCCGATTCTGGCAGACATTTTTATGGGTAGTCTGGAACAAACAAGGCTGAAATCCGCAATCAGTCAGACCGATTTCTATACCAGGTATGTCGACGACACTTTCGTTATTTGTAATTCTTTCGATGATGCATCTCAAGTACTAAAAGTCTTGAACAGTGCCCATGCTAATATTAAGTTTACAATGGAGCATGAAAAAGAGGAGAAGTTCCATTTTCTTGACCTGGGTATCCAACGAGATATAGACGGCAAAATCATAAGATATATACACAGAAAAGAGACCTGGAGGGCGGTTTATCTTAACTTCAAAAGTTTCTGCCCTATAAGTTACAAAAAAGGATTGGTGAGAACATTATTTGATCGTGTAAGGAAGCTGTGTTCAGAAGAAAAGATTGAGGAAGAGCTATCCATTGTGGAGAAATGCCTACGCGACAATGGTTACCCACAAAAGTTCATTGACAAGTATGGGAGACGTCATGTTGAAAAAGTGAAAATCAGCACAGTAGAGAAAAAGCCTATCTTTCTGCAGCTGGCATTCAAAGGTGATGATACTGCCAGTAGAATAAGATGCAGACTGAACGCTGCCCTGAAAAGAACATATCCAGCCGCCAAGCTTGTATGTGTTTATCAAACAACTAGTTGTTTGAGACAATCAAAAGTGGACAAATACCCACCTCATGTTACCTCCAACTGTGTTTACCAATTTACATGTACGTGCCAAAGCACCTACATCGGAAGAACAGAGAGAAGGGTTATTGTCCGCATTTCTGAACACATACCAAAGAACCTGAGACTGAAAGGTCCACAAGTATTAAACAGTGCAATTGCGCGTCATCTATTAGACACTGGTCATAATGTAGACAACTTGAAGTCATTCAAAATAATCAACAAGCAAAAGAAACCTAACTTGCTACGCTTTGCTGAAGCAATTGCTATCAGACGACTTAAACCAAATCTGTGTACTCAGAAAGAGACGGTGGTGAATCTTGCACTGCCTTGGTGAGAAAATGTATACAACAGCTTGTTTGTTTTTGTTTCCAAGCCTAATTGCCTAATTATTCTATAAATATTTATAAACTGTCAAATATTGATCACAATTCATTTGAATTATTCTATAAATAGTCAGTTGTTTGTAACTAGTTAAATCATTCCGGACTAATGTTACTTTTACTTCCTACCAATTACTCCATGTGATCGTGGAAAATTATGTTCAAATCTTCAATGTAATGTAATTTATATTTTCCATCGTTCAGGTTGTAACCAGTTGAGAATCCTCGAAATAATAAAAGATGAGCTCACATTATCCTGGTACAATAGTTGTTCTTGCTTTGTTCAAATATATTGTAATCTGGATATTGTGGTTTGATGCAACCAACTTCACTGGCTGCCACATCAATATCCATTGAGTTGTAAAGGAAATTGTTCTCTAATTTCTTGGCATCCCTGAAAAATACGTTAGACAGAAAACGGCACCTACCTTTTTGGTCTCTTACTAGGCATTGGCAACGTATGATCGTCCATGTCTGCCTTCTTGGAGCCTTGATCATTGCTTCTCAAAAGCTCTACACCCTTTTTACAATTCTCATAAGTATCTAGAAGGGTGATAATGAAATATGCTAACTTACCAAATTCCTGCAGTTGACGGAATTGAAACACTGACCATCCAGTCCCGGTATACATAGGCTCTAGATGGTTTGCTGTGCTGCTGTACGCACATAAACCACTTCGCACAACCCAGGTGTTTGGGATGGCGACTACAGTGTCATCTTCTAGCGAACGGACGACGAGATATGTGATTGGTGTTTTTCCATTGTGACCGACGGTTTGTTTTACATTAGAACGAGCAGGCGTGTCACATATAAATGCTAGAACACTGACAGTCACACTCTTACCCCACTTCTCAACATATAGACCGTTTTTATAAAGATCTTTCAATTCAACTAATAGGTCCATAGAAACCTCATTGAAGTTGTTCGGTTTTCTCAAACCGCCATGTATACCAATTAAGAAAACGTCACTGACGTATGGAGTTGTGATACGACCTAGGAATGGCCATAATTGCTGTTCGATATAGATAAACCGTCATAGTTGATTTGCAAGCCAACATGTTGAAAAGTACCGTAGTCAACCCAACTATCTAGATAACGCTGCAGATTTTCCTTCAGTCCAATGTGATAGTAAACGCCTTGTCCAAGAAATCTAGGTACACACATGCTGCTATCTTTTAGCAAGCCTCGTATGGTTGTTGGTACATGTAGACTAAATTTACGCATACAGTCCAAGATATCTTGCGCAAGAACCCCTGTTACATTGTTCCTAAGTAACAATTCCATAATTGATTTTCTGACCAGCTCTTTTTGTGTCATCTTTCCAGGAACAATCTGAAGTTCTATTAAAACTAATTAATACATAATAATAAATGTTACGGTTCTCTTCAATTTGTGAAACTACAGCGATGGTCTCACTAGTACTAGGTATACCCACTGTTCCCTGTACAGTTGAACTTGAAGGCAAAGTTGCTGTATTAACCCTTACCACCTCTTCTCTAGATGAGGAGTAACGTTTCCAGAAGTCCCAGTCACTAAATGCTGCATCACGTGACCGTTTTTGACGGCGGGAAAATGTGGAGTAGCTGTATCCAAGGCATTCATGCAGTCTGCCAGAAGATATTCTTCTCTTACGACTTGTTGCAGAATGTTGAATGCCCGAATCTAATACATTATCTGAGTTGTTTTCCTTATAATGGAAATGGACAAATATACACCCAAAATATAACTCACCTGCATGATTTATAATTCCTGTAAGAATGGTCTCTGTATGTAAGGAGTACTGCTCATATACCTCTAGGCAAACATCCGTTTTTTTTAATATGAAAAGGATGAAAGGTGAGAATAATTATTCTAACCTGTTCTTCGATAATGCCATTTTATGGTAAATGAAGATTTTATCTACCCACTATGTTCTGAAATAATGCTGGTCGTGCTTAAAAAGAGAGCTGGGTGCTGAGTTAAGTCTTTTCGTTCTGAAGTAACGCTAGTCAGTGCTTAATATGTCCTGTGAGGGCTGGAACAACGCTGATAAGCAAACCCAGAAGGTTCTGATCTACTCTTGAAAATGCCTAGAAAAAGAACAGGGTGCTGAATTAGTGCCAGTCATGCTGAAAACCAGCAATGAGTTCTAGTCTGTGCCATTAAACAAACCATTTCAGAACAGATTCAGAATTTGCTCACTATAGAACGTTAGAATTATTTCAGAATTAGTGGGATTTAATTCAGCATTATGGTAAGCTTGGGAATTTTACAAGCTCTTGTTTAGTTTTAGCTTTTGTTGTGTTATACGTTCCAAAAGTCTACAGATTAACTTTAAATCAGTTTATTCTGGTCGAAGTTAGTTTACTTTTCAGATTTGTCTATTAAATTATAGGAGGTTGTGTCTTATAACCTAATAGTTATATATATCTATTTTTGTGCACTCATTGGCTTTTATCACTGATTTATAAAGGTTATATACATTTAAAGTCACATTTAAATTTCTTCCCCAGTTCGCTTTAGAAAGCATGCCCATCAAAAGAAACCGCTGCGGAACGGTTATGTGCCGATTCCCAGTGGATGAAGGAATGTAGTGTGATAACTGCAAGAGATGGTTTCATAGTATGTGCACAAACCTAACTCCTGCAGCATACAAACGCTGCTGCAAACCTCTAGCGAACTGGTTGTGCAGTGACTGTTGCAGTACTACTAAATTCCGCATTACAGAAGCCATTGCCACTCTCAGTGGGGCTTTAAAGCTCATGGACTGCAAGCGTCTTCCACTACAGGAGAACACCGACTATTTCTCAGACAACGATGACGTGACTAGCGTCATCGACAAAACAGCACATGTCCCCGATGCGTCTCTGTTAATAAGTGAGTGCCCTTCAGCACAGAAGAGCACCCACCACATTCCAGACACCCAGGCTGCCCCCACGATACTGGATAAGCTCTCCAGTGACAGTTATGGAAAGACTGCCACAAAGAAGAGGCGTACCAGGGGTCGAAAACCTGCAGCTAAAGTCGCCCAGGGACTGGTGGATCAGGCCCCATCCAAACCGGTGAGTAGCAGGCAGATAAATCCTACTACGATTAGCGAGGAGGACGCCAATGAATGGCGTAATGTAGTCTCTCACAAAAAGCGAGATAAGGATAACACGTTGGCCACACCACCCACAAAGGACAGAAACACACTTACGCCGCAGAGCAAGAAAGCCACGGCAAGCGAACCTGATCTCTCTGACAGGTCGCTCATTCTCTACAAGGTGGAAGAGTCACTGGCCCCCGATCCCAAGGCTAGATTCCAGCATGACCGTAACTTGGTTAAGCTCCTTTGAGACAAGCTGCTGCCACAAATAGTATCAGGCATAACAATACACAGCGCATATAGAATAGGCCTAAAGCCTGACCCTACAGTAAGTCAGCCTGTACGTCTCCTCAAAGTCGTACTAAACTCTAAAGAAGAGAGGGATGCTATTCTAAGCAACTCTCATATTTTTAAAGGATCAGGCATATATGTCCGCGCCGACTTAAGCCTAGCAGACCGTGTCAAAAGACAGTCTGTGGCCCTAGAATTAAGCGAACGACGCCGAAAGGGCGAAAAGAACCTCAAGATTAAGGGTTTTCGGGTTGTCCAAGTTCGCAGTTTAATGATCCCGAAACCTCTGTGGGTAGGCCGGCGAAGCACCAAACTGAATTGACAGTTTGCTACACGAACGCCCGCAGCCTGTTAAATAAACGGACTGAGCATGGTAGATTCGGGAAACCCGGATGTAATTATCCCAGAGACATGGCTCACACCCGATGTCACTGACAACGAAGTTAACCTGCCAAACTTTGAAGTGCATAGGGTGGACCGACTAAACCGTAAAGGAGGTGGCGTAGTCATCTACCTCAAGAAATGCTTAACCGTGCGTAGTATCGAAACACTCGTTCACGAAATTGAGTCGTGCGAACTTCTACGCTGCAGACTTAAATGCATAGGCCAAGACATTGACCTCATTGCTGTGTACCTCAGTCCTGACTGCAGTGCAGATGACTTCCTAATAGAGAAGCTAGGCTCCTGGCCCTCGAAATGTCGAAGTCTCATAGTTGCAGACTTCAACGCCCCAACAGTTGACTGGACGAGCCTAACAACTCCATCTTCAGTCAACTCCTTTGATCAAAAACTGCTGGAATCTAGTATATTGTTAGCCCTAGTCCAACATATCAACACGCGCACTCCTCCTCAACTCTGGACCTAGTGTTCTCCCACGGTGAGGATGTGGATCTCATACAACATCTTCCTCCTTTAGGAAGAAGTGACTTTCAAGTTCACAGCAACGGCAGCAAAGGCCAAAACCCCAGCTCGACCAAACGTTTGGAAAGCTGATATAAATACAATTGTCTCAGCAGCCAACTCAGTAAACTGGTACATCAACCCAGAGTCCCAAGTAGAAGCCACATGGAACCAATTTAAACAACTTTACGCCCAAGTAACTGAACCTTTCATCCCTTGGTCTGTCCCAAAGGGTCGGATAGACCGAGAGATTCGTAAGTTACTCAGACGTAAACACAAATGTTGGAACTTATTTGCCACATTTGAGACCAGGCAATTATACAACACTGCTAGAAATAAAGCTATTGCAGAAATCCGCCAATCAAGGATGAAGTTCGAAGTACACCTGGCTCAAAATGCAAAGGCACAACCTAAGAAAATTTTCTCGTACATGAACTTCAGGAATAAAACATCCAATGGTGTCCCAAACCTGGCTATTGACAGTGATACAATCGAAGAAGATCAAGAAAAAGCAGAAACAATGGCAAACTACTTCTCCCAAGTCTTCACTCAGGAGTCATCACTGCCTATAGGATCAGCTCTGGCTGCATCAGAAGAACATGGGATAGATTCCGTTGACATCGACCAAGGCATAGTGCTCAACTGCCTAATGAAACTAGATGCAGGGAAATCAATGGGTCCTGATAATCTTCATCCAAGGCTTCTCAAGGAGCTATCAGCCCACATAGCCGGCCCTTTGACTACGATCTTCAAGCTTTCTCTCCTAAATGGAGTGTTACCGCGTGACTGGGAAGACGCCATAGTAACCCCCATCCACAAAGGAGGATCAAGACAAAGCCCTTCAAATTACAGGCCTATCAGTCTCACCAGCACTTTAATCAAGACACTGTTAAGAATCATCAAGAAAAGCATCATGGCATATCTAGAAAATAGAAGCTTATTATATAGAGCACAGCATGGCTCTCGAAGGAACCTATCATGTCTGTCAAATCTTCTCACTGCAAGAGAAAGCTGGGTTAAATCCAGGGACAACAGAAGACCCGTTGACGTCGTCTTCATAGACTTCAGCAAAGCCTCTGATAAAGTACCTCACAAAAGACTTCTCATGAAGTTGTAAGTTCTTGTTATCAAAGGCAGCTCACTAAACTGGATTAAGGAATTCCTCATAGATAGGAAGCAGAGAGTTGGGATCAACTCGCAACTCTTCTCCTGGACAGCAGTGTGTAGCGGAGTGCCACGAGGTACAGTACTCGAACCTCTCCTATTTATTTTGTATAGCAATGAGTTACCTCTATTCACCGACTCGCCTATGGTCCTATAAGCGGATGACTTAAAAATTTGGAGAGAGCTGAAGGGCAACAGTGACACGTCCACATTGCAAGAGGATCTCAACAAATTGTCAGAGTGGTCCATAGAATGGATGCTCCCGATAAATGTGGCAAAATATGCAACCATACACATTGAACAAGCAAGCACGAGCTCCTACGAACTAGTGGGAATAACACCCATCAGTTCAGACTCACTTGGACTTAGGTGTCATAGTTAGCCACAACTTAAAAACTACAGCACACTGTCGCGCGGTGGCTGCACGTAGTTTCAGGTCATTATGGGCAATTCGCAGAGCCTTCACTAGAATCACCAGAGATATGTTCACCTCCTTATATACATCTCTGGTGAGGTCAAGACTAGAAAACTGCATCCAGGCCGCCAGCCCTTGTCTAAAAGGGGACTCACACATTCTAGAAAGGGTCCATAGCAAGGCAACACGTATGGTTCTCGGAATGACTAATTTATCATACGGGGAAAGACTAGACAGTTTAAATCTCTTCTCCGTAGGCAGAGAGGAGATTTAATCACAATGTTTAAAATTTTAAATAATGACTACGGACCTGACCTATTCTCTCTTTTCCTTCCTACCAGGTCGGAACACCTTAGAGAACATAGCAAGAGAGTTCAAAAGCCGAGAAGAAATCATATTGCTGTTGAGTGCTGGTTCTCACTTCGAGTCATAAACTCTTGGAACCGACTCCCAGAAGAAGTGGTGTCTGCAACCTCAACTGATTCGTTCAAGAAGGGTTTGGAAAACCACAGAAATTTACTAGAAAAGGATTAACATAGGCTCCAAGCCTTCTATCCTCAACCAATAAATCTGAAATCTTAATATGTCCTGTGAGGGCTGCAACAACGCTGATGAGCAAACCTAATAGGTCCTGATCTACTCCTGAAAATCCCTCGAAAAAGAACACGGAGCTGAATTCGTTCTAGTCATGCTGAAAACCAGCACTGAGTTCTAGTCTGTGCCATTAAACAATCCATTTCAGAACAGATTCAGAATTTACTCACTATAGGATGCTAGAATTATCTCAGAATTACTGAGATTTAATTGAGCATTATTGTAAGCTTGGGTAATCTACAAATTAGAGTAGGTTCATAGTCTTTTCATGAAATTCGGAACACTGATGAGATCTTCCATGAGGCAGGATAAGGCGTAATCTTTCCTTTTGTGGTAGATCAGTCATACCATGAGTCATAAATTGTCTTCCTTTGAGGCACACAGAACATCAGTTTTCCTTAAGACATGAGCATTTCTGTAGTTTTGACCTCACCGGAGATGTAAGGTCATGAACATCTAACTGGTGATTCTCGCAAAGTCTTGGATTAGGGTTTAGAACTGCAAGCTGCCACCGCGTAACAGTCTACCGTGGTTTTGGGTCATGACTAACTATAACACCTAGTTATGTGTGCATCTGAACAAAAGGGAGTGAATTTCACTCTGTGTCATCCCAGCTGATACTTGAGTGTTCACTGTGCTTGTGTAGGAACTTCATTACGTTGGTTGACAGCATCCATTCTCTGGACCACTCTAATATTGTCGACATCTTCCAGTGTCAGCATATAGATATCACCATAAGGCTTTCGTCAAATCTTTAGGTGATCTGAGTAGAGGACTTCGGGAGATTTAGTGAGCCTAGGTAATTCGTTGATATAGAGGATGCATAGGAGGAGGCTGTGTACGGTACCTTGTGGTGCACCACTACACACCTTTGTCGATAAAGAGAGTTTTGAGTTGATCTTGACTTTGTGTCCTAACGACGAGGAATTCCTTAATCCAGTTTAGCAGGCGGTTCTTGACCCTACAACTCTCCAGTTTTCTGAGAAGTCTTGTTTGAATCTACGGAGACGATGTCAACAGATTTTTCTGTTGTCTCTGGGCCTAAATCAACCTTCCCTTGCTGTAAGGTTCGTCAGACACGAGAGGTTTCTCCGGAAACGGTGATATGCTGAGGATAGAAATCTATTTTCCAAATACGTTCGATTGTTATTTCTTCTTCCCGATCACGAAGTAACACTCCATAAGAGAAATAGCCTTCAAGGTCGTAGTCAGTGCACTAGATGTGTGAGCTGCCAGCTCCCTGAGGAGCCTTGGGTGTAGGTCATCTGGTTGCATTAATTTTGGTTTGTTTAGTTTCTTTAGGGATTGGAATACGATGGTTTGGTCGGTGTCGGTAGAATTTACTTTGTTTCCTTGTTGCTGCGTCAGAGGTGTTGCTACGGGTGGTGACGACTCTTGTGTGCGGAATTTGCAGACAACCATTTCTTTCTCTTTTTGCTTGGTTCTTTTCGATTTCGTCGGAATCAGTTTTGAGGCTCCATTGGAAGACTTATTGTTAAGACCCATACACGAAAATATTTTCTTGGAACTGCAATATACCGCTATGGGGCAGTCTCTCGTTCTTTTGTCTTTTAGTCTACATCACAAAGTTCGCATGGTCCTGTGACATGCAAAGCTAGGTACTTCTTGCCAGGTATAACTACTCCACTCCTCTGAGGTTATTGTATTTTCCCTGAGCACGATGACGTTTTGAAGACTAACGTCATTGTGGTTAATTTCGGATGTTAGCCATGATTCCGTATTGACAATGTTATAGTCAACTACACTACCAGGCTTAGTCCTTTACTGCAACAAACTGCGGGCATTAGTGTAGCAGACTGTTTGGTCATTTCGGTGCTTCAGGGTATCACCCAAAGAAGTTTGGGAGTCATTAAACCTCAAACTTTTACCCACCGGAAACCTTTAATAACCCTCGCCCTCGTGCTCTCAGCTCCAATGCAGCAAACTGTCCTTTTTGCTGTTTGCTAGACCTAAGTCTGTAGGGACTGAGATGTTCGATCCCTTAAAGGTTTGAGAATTTCACCTCTTAGTTTTTGAGTTTAATGACTTTGAGAAGGCGCATCGACTGAATACTGTAAAGTCAGCCTCTTGGCGAATTCTGCACAGACTGAATGGCAAAACCTGTTACCTTTGTAGGGGGTAACCTGTTTAGTCCGACTAAACAGTAATTGCGTTCGAACCTTGGCCTTCGATCTAGAACTTTGGGTTCTTCCACATTATGGAGGATGAGTGACCTGTCAAAGAGATCATGTTTGGTGCGGTTGGCCTTTTTGCTTTTAGATAACGGTATTTCTACAAATTTCAAGGGTAATATGTCTTGTGAAGTGGTTTTGTGTTGCTTTCTGCAAGTCACAACATCATTCACATTCTCTGGCGTTCTCTTCGCCGAACTTTGGCGGTGATTGCTTACTATCTACCTGCGCTGTGAATGAGGCTATATCTGCAATGGCGACTTGCGCTGTTGGTCTCCAATTCTCGCTACGCATTTTCCTTCTGAGGGCGCTAACAGTGTCTCAACGAGGGTTCTTTTTGGTGTGTCGATGGCGCAAACAGCATGGTCGGTGTCCGAGCACAGGTTGTTTATCCCCTGTGATAGATGACCTTTTTAATCTAGAAGCTTCAGTGCCCCATCAAGCACCACCCCAACAATCATTAAACAGCCAATAAGCAAGGAGCTTGTAGTAACGCTTGTATGCTGCAGGGGTCACGTTGGTGAATATATTATGCAGCCACCGATTGCTGTTATCACATTGCATAACATCCTTCACTGGATAGTGATACATTCGCTTCCCACAACCTTTCCTTGTACGCATATTTTCAAAATGTAAATGCTTTATCACAGAAAGTGTGGCACTTATAAGCAAACAAAGATTACCCACAGTACAGATCAGGATTTTATGAAAAATACAAAAACTGGGAAGCTAGACTGCTAAAAACACGCTTTCTACGGCTAAGTAACCTCGAAACCTATAAAAAACTTGTAGTGTATCAAACAACAAGAGCTGGATTAAAAATCACTCCCTTTTCAAAATTCTCTCTTCAGCATTCACTAGGAAATTAAATTTTATTGACTACTTAAGTGAATCGTGATCCTAGTACTAGTTCTCTTAATTAGCTGGAGCTTAATGCCGCCTTATATTCTGCGAAAAACAGTTTGTTTCCGGAATACTCGGTTCTTATCATTTGCTATTTGACTTTTATTTCAAGTGAGCTGAATGCATAACAAGTTAGAAATTTTTTCAAGTCCTTATACAAAGGAAATTATTGGTCTAATCTTATACTGTTGAAGTGTGCGAATAACTGAATTACTCATTATTTGGTGGTTGCCGGCAGATCAGTTTGTATCAAATAGCGGATGATCTTTTGTTTTATTTGGGATCAACTTATTCTGCGATGTATTTTAACTGTTTCAGTTCACATACTGTCGTCTAAATCTGGCTATATAAGTAAAATATCATCCCAAATTAAGCAATTGAGGCGAGAGTGACCTAGTTGACTTAATTTTTACGAAGTTGTAACAAGGGTATTCCACCTACATATTCCCTTCGGTTACATTCAATTGGCTGGAAAAATTAACATTTGCACCTGTTTCCACATTACAGCAGCAAATGGTCAACTTTTGCACTTTCGTTAAACTTCAACAACTTACTAAACTTCATATACACCTTCTCCTTAATGAATTTGAATAGAGGAATAACAACACATGGTGCAGGATACAACGGATCCATTGTTTATTTCTTCGGTATCATGTCAGCTGCATACAAACTAAGTTATGAAATTTAATACTTCTGTCATATTTCTAATATACTTTAGTTCTTTGGAGATATTTCGTGGAACAGTAATTGAGAATTCTCATAGTACATAAATGAATCAAATGTTAAGTTAGTAAAATGTAGAATATTTCTGTGTTGTGATCGAAGTTTCTCGAATAAGACAAGAAATGCGGAGCACGGGTAACAACAAGATATTGAGATAAATAAGTGGTAGGAAATTGCTAATACATAAATGAGACATGAAAAAATACCTTGAGTTAAGACCATTCGGTCAGATATCAGGCACATTAATCATGACGCTTACCAAGTGGTGAAGTAACTAAGAGTGAAAAATCTACATTTCTGTTTAATAGATAATATGATCAATTAAGGTTAAAAAGAAGTTGCCAAGGTATGGACAAACTTAGTAAAGCTTCTGTTTAAACACGTAGAACACGTCTTAGCCTTTTTGATAGTGATGGCCTCTAAGAAATTCCAGACACTTATGTTTGATTGTTTATTATTCTGACAGAATTCGAGACGTCTAACTGATGTCCTTTGTTATTCAGATATATTGATGTCCGCTTTTTACTATTTTATTAGAGAAACTTCGATCACACCATACATATAATTACAGAAATATTTTGTAGTTTACTAACTTAACATTTGATTCATTTATGTACTATGAGAATTCTCAATTACTGTTCCACGAAATATCTCCAAAGAACTAAAGTATATTAGAAATATGACAGAAGTATTAAATTTCATAACTTAGTTTGTATGCAGCTGACATGATACCGAAGAAATAAACAATGGATCCGTTGTATCCTGCACCATGTGTTGTTGCTTTGTTCAACAACCTACTTCTGGAAGTCACTTTCATCTGTTCCCACTTTTGACACAATTTATTATTCTTGTAAAAATTGTGTGAATAAGTTCAAGTTAAAGGGGGAATAAATTATGTACGTGCTTAGCGTTTAGGGAAAAAAACATGCATGAGATCAATTTCGTGTCATTTTACTTAGGATTGCAAACATAAATTTGCAGCATCTTAGGCATACATTTATTTATTTTGAAATTATTCAGATTGGTTTCCACCTTACCTGCCCACCATTAATTAATTTGGGAACTGAATACTAATAGATCAATGCAATTCCTGGATAATTTTCGAAATACTGACCGTAATCGTCTTCGCAACAGTGTTGTATCAATCATTTCAGGATTTCTATTTGCATTGGGCTGGTGGATAGCGATTGATGCGGCTGTTCTTTTTGCTGAGGATAATGCTTTACCCAATGCGTATCACACCGCAGGCGTGTTCAGCACTATTGCTTTTATTCTGGTTAATAGTGTTCCAAATGGAGTGGTAAGTTTAATTTTTTCCACTTAATTATTTTCATTAAACGAATATAACCTAATTTACTCAGATGAATAAGTTGAATTGCTAACAAATTTTCAGTTCATATTGTTACGCTACCTGTATCCTACGACAACCTGGCTACTGAAGCTGAGAAGGCAGCAGGCAAAAGGGACCTGAGGACACTATATCAGATAACCAAGTCTCTATCCGGGAAGAGATCAACACAAGTGAAACCTATAAAAGACAGCCAAGGGATCCCGATTCCCAAAGAAGAAAGACAGATTAAACAATGGGCGGACCACTTCAAAGGACTCTTGAACAGACCACCACCTGCAACCCGTCCAGAAATACCAACAACAGCACGTACACAACTGCAAGTTGACACCAATCCTCCAACGAAAACTGAAGTCATGAATGCAATCAAGCTTCTGAAAGCTGGAAAAGCAGCTGGACCAGATGGAATACCCCCGGAAGCACTGAAAGCGGACCCAGAAACGACAGCAGATATGCTGACTCCATTATTGCAAAAGATCTGGAAAGAGGGAAAGGTGCCTACTGACTGGAGGAAAGGTTACTACCAAAGAAGGGCGACTTAGGACTCTGCGAGAACTGGCGAGTAATCATGCTCCTGTCAACGCCAAGTAAAATTCTGAGTCGCATCATCCTGGAGAGAATAAAGGACGCACTGGATACAGAACTCCGACCAGAACAAGCTGGATTCAGGAAAGGCAAATCATGTTCTGACCAAATTGCAACTCTACGCATCATCATCGAACAAAGCATGGAATGGCAATAAAACCTATACTTCAACTTTATAGACTTTGAGAAGGCCTTCGACAGCGTTGACCGCGAAGTAATTTGGAAACTACTCGAGTACTACGGCGTACCCCAAATATTCATCAACCTTATTCAACAGCTGTACGACAACGGCACATGTCAAGTGATCCACAACGGAAAACTCAGCGAAGCGTTTGGAGTAAACACAGGTGTCAGACAAGGGTGCTTATTATCACCAATGATATTCCTAATTGTGGTGGACTGGATTATGCGTCATCAGGCAGTGGGAAACGAGAAGACAGGGATATCCTGGACCGACGTGAAGAACCTAGAAGACCTGGACTTCGCAGATGATTTATGTTTGATGTCACACAAAATCGAAGACCTACAAGCGAAAACCGACAAACTGGTCGAAGAAGCAGCAAAGACAGGACTCCAGGTGAACACACACAAGACGGAGGTTACGAAAATAACCAACCAACAACAACAACATCCAGCGCCAATCACCATCAACAGGAGGGATTTGAAAGAGGTTACTTCATTCACTTATCTAGGGAGCATTGTCTCAACTACAGGAGGAACGGACCAGGATGTCAAATCGAGAATCGGGAAGGCGAGAAACACATTTATCAACCTCGAACCAATCTGGAAATCTTCCGCTGTCACTCAGCATCAACAACAAAATTCGGATTTTCAATACAAACGTCAAGTCAGTCAGTTTTTCTATACGGATCAGAAACTTGGCGGGTCACCAAGAATATTTTCAACAGGTTGCAGACCTTTATCAACAACTGTCTTCGTTCTATACTGAAGATTAGATGGCCGGAAAGAATCACAAACAAGAAGCTATGGGAACAAACAAAACAGGAACCAATTGCCCAACAAATATGCAGGAGAAAGTGGATATGGATTGGACACTTGCTGAGGAGGCCGCTGGGTGACATCGCGCGTCAGCCCAGTGCTCGAGTGGAACCCGAAAGGGAAGCTGCGAGTGGGACGTCAGTTCAAGGGTGACATGGAGGAGATCGTGTGATGAGGAACTGAAACAGTATGGATTAACATGGATGCAAGTGAAAAGTACAGCAGAAGACAGAAGCAAGTGGAGGCGTGCAGTTGAAGCCCTATGTTCCACTAGGAACCCAAGGGAACAATAATAATAATATAATCCTAAGGTGGCAAAATCATCTACCACGTAGATGACATTATTTGAGGTTAGCCTTTTATACTTTTACTGGTCAGTAGTAGTGTTACACATGCTTGAGAAAGTACGAGTGTTACATATTGACGTAATAGGGTCAACTATTCCTCGATCAGGATCATTCGTTTGATATTGTCGACTAAGTTTTACAACGACGCCGTTATATGAGGTGTCAACAAAGATACAGCATTATTTAGACTTATTGCAAACGTGACCCTTTGCTTACTGCATATTAATAAGTTGCATCCAGTTACTATTCTCATCAATGTGAGGTATATTCTACTTAGCAACAAGTGACTGATTGCAATCAACAAAAATAGGTGTCATACTATCCTTTGATATAATACACTCTTTCACACCCAGTTAATGCATTTGGAATTCATACATTTAAATCTTAAGAGATTAAATATAACCCGTTAATTGTAAGTAACTTTTCACTTTCAAAATAATCTATCTTACAGTTGAGAGACGAATTTTCAGACAGTCGTATTGGAAGACGTGGAGCTCTAATATGCTTGTTCGTTGCCTTCTCAATGGCCTTTAGCAGTGTGATAGCTTCATGTTGGATACTATTCGGAGGTTATGTCGCTGCAGGGAAGAAGCCAGTATGGCCCGGTATAGCTATACTATTACAGAATTTACTGCTATGTGTATCTTCGATGTTGTTTAAATTCGGTAGAAAAGATGTTGACGAATTCTAAACTACTTCCATCGTCTACTATAATACCAACAACTCATCATTTATTATATCTTGTCATTTTTTTTCGAAATACTAACCAGCTATGTTGTATGCAAAGAAAGCACTTCGTTTGTTGTTTTTTCTGAATCTTTTTTTTTAACAATACGAAATTATTTTCTTCAAACAGACACAATTACGATGTACTCAGTTAAATATTAATTTTTAAATATGTAAGATTCAACGGTGGTCTTTTTCATTTTTGGTGGGAATAACAGGAATGCTTCTGAAAGAAAAAAAAAGAAAACAAGTTTATCATACCATATATATATATATATATATATATATATATATGCAGTAATATACAATTATTTCCAATTACACTTACCGTGAATAGGATATTTCTTTCTTCCAAAGAAGTGTTGTTCATTTTCTTCTGTACACTGTAGTTGAATGAATAAAGGGAAAATAGCATATTTACTTCACTATTAGAAATATTTAAACAAAAGACCAGGGTAAAAAGCATTCATTTGACTAACGAGTAAGACTTAGATTGTAGTGAAGTCGAAGATACACTTAATACTTTTCTTATTCATTGTAAATTACATTTTCACATCACTGTGATTACTGGTAGTTCATGTCATGCTGTAATGGTATGCTTAACTGATATTTTTACTGACTTAAATTTTCAACGTTGGCATACTTGGGATATAAATTGACCAGTAACGTGTTATTACACATAAGTGAAAGATTTTGTCAGGTGTTGATGACCACGTTTGGATAATTAGAGATGAAGTATTTAAGTGGAATTTTTAACAGAAGTAACAATAATAATAATAATGACTAAATATAAGTAATTCATTGTAAGTTGGATAGAAGGAATAAGTAGATATGCGAATTAAAGGAAGGGACTATATCATTCAGAGGAATTCCGACTGCTTCTGCTACATATAACAGTCATGCGTGTTAACTAAAAGTAAGACTAAATGAAATATGATTAATAGTCTCAAAAGCCTATCTCGTCAGTAGAAGTCATGTACGAAGATTTGGATTAGTTTCGTCTACATTGTTATTGTTTTATTATTTCGTTCATTTGCGTTGCGAGTGGAACATGGTGCCTCAAGCTTCAACCTTCCCTCTTCACCGGGCTTACTACCACCTAGGCGACGTTTAGGAGTGTGTCGGCTAAGAATCCAACCAGAACTACGTTCACATTTGGCGAGCATTCTACGCCTAAGCCATCGGTGCCTTGGCTTAAACTTATTTATTGACATTCCTGAATGCGAAATTGCCTGGCAGTATGTCTGATTTAACTAGCTTTACAGGTACATTTTATTTGATTAATGTACATCAGACAAATTTTTCTCCACAGATTCAGTACTGGTAAGCTAGAAAAACAGCATAAAATGTCTCATTAAACATCCTCAGAGTTTGTAATACATTTTCTCTAGCAGCATAGTCACCCATTGATTTCAGTCTCGAGAATCGCTCTTTTGAAAGTGTTGGTTGTTAAACCGATCATTAAAGTCATCTGAGCGAACAACATTAACTCGTTGAACTAAACACCTCATTAAAATAAGTCTTTATTACAGACGGACCAACTCAAGGAAACAAGTTTAGTGGATGGTATAATGAGTTCACAATATGTATATTTTTCATCATTAGGATATCTAGAAATGAAATACAATTTTGTTCTTGTTCTTAAACATAGATTGCAGTTACATGAAGTTTATTGAATTTCCCCAAAATTTCGGTAGGGTTATTTCTATCTTCTATAGATACAGGAGAATCATTCACATAACTGCAGCATAATTCCAATGTATTTATTATCTTTTCCACAAAAAACCATTTTCTAGTTTCGTCACAGTTGAATCCGGTGATGACGCTGTAGACACATTATTAAACACTATAGAAATCTCACTTAGACAGAAAATGTACATTCATAAAGCAGTTTAAAAGTTGTTTCAACCAGATGCGAAAATGTTTGTCTATATTTTAATTTGTTGACTCATAAAATATGAATAAATATAATGTTCTCACCAGACCAGTATTGGTAAATAAAGACATCACTTTACAGTTCACCTTTGAAACTGAACTATCTTTCATAGTGGTTGCAATAGTTAGACGGTTTGCGCAGTTTGAATATCAAGAACCAATCATAAGCTATTTTTACAAAGAATTGTTACATGTCATCACGAAACCTACAGGTCTAAGTGTTGCGAGAGAGAACCTCCTTGTATCACCCCTTTCATGTTGCTACCATGCTATTCCTGTAGTCGTAGTATATTATTTTACTAGTTTATGTAATTACATTTTACAGTTAGAAGCTCTATCCATGGGTCCAAAATTTTGTGACATCAACCTAAATGCCAATAGACTTCATACTCATGTACAATTTGAAAACCTAGTGACCCAAACAAATGATTTAACTCCAGTCTCTGAACAGGAACTATAGCGATTCAAATCAACAATAATCGATTGTTGCCATCAATATCTGAATACAAAAACAAAGATCTACAACCACCTAACAAAGCAGCACAGAGAAGACTTAAATTAACTGAGACACAACAAAGAACTTCTAATAACGCGTTCAGATAAAGGCGCTGGCGTAGTCCTTATGGACAGAAAAGACTACATAGAGAAAATGAATAACATACTGTTAGATAAAACTAAATTCTCGCAACTACCCAATGAAAGAAATAAAACAGAAGAGATTGAAAAACAGCTCACTGATGCCCTTAAAACAACGAAAACCGAACAGCTAATAAGTCATGTAGTTTATGATCACATTTGACCTGCAGGATTAATAATACAGCTTACCAAAGATAGATAAAGCCGGCTGCCCACTGCGTTCAATTTTAGATATATCAGGTTCCCCATACCATTCAATAGCGAAATGGTTAGGTGATATTTTAGAACCTGTTAGAAAACAGATGTGCCACTATTCGTTTCGTGACACCTTTCAATTCGTCGACTACATACAAGATATCAACGTAACGAACAAAAATATGCTTTCTCTTGACATTGAGTCACTATTTACCAATGTTCCACTCACAGAAACTGTCTGTCACATTTGTCAATATACAGACGAAAACCAGCTGAACAACGGATTACCGACAGCTTGTTTAAAAGAACTACTACTGAGACGTACCCTTAATCTACAATTCACATTCAACGATGCTATTTACAGACAACAAGATGGGATTCCCACTGGGCCAATTATTAGTAGACCGCTTCATGGCAAACCTCGAGAATGGCCCACTCAAATCAACTATCGGTGATTTCCAATTGTATACTAGATATGTGGACGACGTCTTTATTATCTGTGATGATGGTCACGATCTTAATCAGTTACTACAAATATTCAACAAATGTCACTCAGCTACAAAGTTCACTCTTGAAATAAAAAACGGATCTAAAACTCCTTTTCTTGATGTTGAGCTTACGAGAAGAGCTGACGGAACTTTAAGAAGGTACATCCATAGGTAACCCACATGGAACGGCCAACTGACAAGCTTCTACAGCTGGATATCAATCAGTCGAAAACGAAACCTAATTAGATCTCTTATTACTCGCGTCCAACGCATCTGATACTCTGGAAGAAAAACTACACTTCCTGAAAGAAATCTTCATACAAAACGGATATCCACCAAGATTCATTGACAAAAACATCAAACAGAAAATCCAAAAGCAAGAGACGCCATCCGTGCCAAAAATATACTTCATATGAACCTCGACTTCAAAGGTAACCTACTCAGTGATATCCCTAAGAGGAGAATTCCCACTTCTTTAAGAAGAACTTTCTTCGCGGCCACACTGAGAGTAGTGTTCTCCAGTCGCCCGCTGATCTGCAGAAGCCCAAAAGACAAGATCTCGCACCTGACCACTTCTATGTGTATATATCAGTTCACCTGTTGCTGTGGAGGCAGGTATATCGGTCATTTGATGCGTATCCTGTCAAAAAGGGTCAAAGAACACTATCCAGTGCGGTTGCATAAAAGGAGTAATGGCCGTATAAGGAGTGCAATAATCGAACATCTCGTCGCCACTGGCCATTCCATCTCACCAAACGCCTCCTTCAGAGTAATGTATAAAGTGAAGAACAACCTGTCAAAGACAATACGTGTCCGTCTTCTGTGCATTGCAGAAGCCCTAGCCATTCTGTTAGAAGAACCAGAACTATGCATACAAAAGAAAATTATTCAGCCACTTCTACTATCATGGTAACAACTCTGTTGATATGGCTTAACTTTTTCTTGTTTTTTTCTGACTACTTAAAACTCTTACGTGATTCCGTATTTTATTTTGCTTCCATGTTCACCCTGAGCACAACTGTTTCATCAAACTATTCATGTTATTGCGTAACTCTTCTTTAACAATTGTTTGTGACAACTCATCACTTTTGTTACTACCCTCTTATATCAACATCCAATTCCTCTGAATACTTTTTGTATTACGTAACTCCACTAGAAACTTACTAATTGTATTTTCGTCTGACAAATTTAATGTACACACACATACAAAACTACTGGTCTTCTCTCTATTTATTTTACTATATCCCCACCCTGAGATTAATAAATTGTTATTACCTAAGTTATCACCACTAACCTGGTGCAGAATCAGTTTTGAAACGCTTATTAGAAATGAATATTTCTCTTTGCTTAAATTGTTATTTCATAAACAGAAAAGCGGTTCACCATTTCCCCGTCGATTTTGATGAAAAGATAACTACATGATCGCCGAAAATGCCTATTGAGTCATGAAGAAAAAAAAAGACAAAATCAGCGAAGAAAATTTTCTTTATCGCCGAAATCATCTTCAGAGGCTGAAGAACACTAATTAACCAGGCTACAAACAGACACCATTGGTTTAGTAAATTGAATACACAAGCATATGTAGATTTATGTCGAAACCTGCAGTGAAAATATCTACAAGCCCCAAACTGAATTATTAAGTAGTTCAACCTGCTTTAATAGTGTGCAATATTCCCATATCATGAATTAAAAGTCAATCTGAACGAAGAAT